CTTGGATCTCCTTTAACCTGGAACAGTGCTTCAGTCTTTCATGCCATTGACGTTTTTGAGGAGTCCAGGCCAGTCACTTTGGGGAATGTCCCTCCGTTGGAGTTTGTCCGATGTTTGCTCATGATTGGATTCAGCTTCTGCATTTTTGAATGTTTATTTTTGAGAGAGAGAGAGACAGAGCGTGAGCAGGGGAGGGGCAGAGAGAGAGGGAGACACAGACTCCGAAGCAGGCTCCAGGCTCCGAGCCATCAGCACAGAGCCCGATGCAGGGCTCGAACTCACAAACCGCGAGATCATCACCTGAGCCGAAGTCGGACGCTCAACCGACTGAGCCGCCCAGGCGCCCCTCAGCTCCTGCATTCTTGCCAGGACTACTACAGCAGGGATGCTGTGTCCCTCTCAGAGCGTCATGTCGGAGGCAGCCATCATCTTTCTGAGGGCTGAACCAAGACGAAACAGACTAGATAGTTTTCTGGAGCTCACACCTCACAGGCACATGGCTGATCCCCACCCAGCACCCTAACAGACCATCATCAAAGCCTACATCCCACCTCCAAAGTCATATAGATGCCTCTAACAGGCCAAGGAGACAAGGCAATTCTAGGGTGGAAGGTTCCTCAAGATACTTCACAGATGAGGCTCCCAAGCTCAAAGAGGGAAAGTGACTTGTCCGAAGCTACACAGCTCCTGAGGCGCAGAGAGGAGACTTGGACTTAAATCTTCGGACTGTAGGTCAAGGCTCTCTCTGAGACAGAACAGTAGCCACACTTCGGTAGGACAGGCCATCGTGAAGGAGAAGCTTTGGAAGGAAGAGCGCTCCCTGGCCCTGGAGGGGTGCAAGGTGAGCCAGGTGAGTGGAGGATGCTGGAGAAGGGATTTTTGTGATGCAGTGGCCTTCAGAAGTACTATTTCAGGACACTCTCCAAAGAGGTGTTGACACAGAATCTGAAACAGGCTCCAGGCTCTGAGCTGTCAGCACAGAGCCCGATGCGGGGCTCGAACTCATGGACTGTGAGATCATGATCTGAGCCAAAGTCGGATGCTCAACCGACTGAGCCACACAGGTGCCCCTCTTTTTCTTTTTTTAAATGTTTATTTATTTTGAGAGAGAGAGAGAGAGAGAATGGTGGGAGGGAGAGCAGAGAGAGAGAGAGAATCCCAATCAGGCTCAGCGCTGTTAGCGCAGAGCCCGACCCGGGGCTCAATGCCGCGAGCCTCGAGATCATGACCTGAGCCAAAATCAAGAGTCAGACGCTTCACCAACTGAGCCACCCAGGCGCCCCAATAACTTTTTCTAACTGTAAGAGTGACATATGTTCATTGGAGAAAAGTTAGAGAACAGAGAAGCGCAAATAAGAAAGTAAAAATCATCCGTATTTTCACGAGGCACAACTACCCACAAATAAAAAAGGATGTGAAATGTGACTTGCAAATAAAATGGAATCAAACTGCACATATTTTTTGGTGTCTTTTTTTTTTTTTTT